CTCCCTTTGGACAAATACAATTTCACCCCACAGCCTGAGCAGAATTAATCCAGTTATTGTTCAGCACAGGAGGAATTATGGTCACTTATCTGCTTGGAGCATGGGTATAGAGCTTCTTTGGTATAGTGCCCATATTAAGCCCCCAGATTCATGTCTCGCTAAATCTGCTTTCTGACAAGAGTAGATGGGTCTTAGAGCTGTTTTGGAAAAGTGAAGTTGGTGCTATAAGTAAAGGTCAGGCAAGTGAACTTTTGTGCTTTGGGACAAAGCTGGACTCTTTTGTATCTGGACTACCGACTACTGAAGGAATCTATTTTGTCTGTCTGCCACCTTGCTTGCCAAAGTTTTGAATAAAGACCTTGCACTTTTATTAGTGCTAAAGTATTTGTTGGGGTTGACCCTCAGTGACGTCAGTTTTTAGCCCAATATCTGAAACTGACTGAATTGTAAGGTGGTTGAGAAACAGAGAGGTGGATTGTGGCCACGATGAAACACAGGGGAAAAAATTGTGGATACAAACAACATTGTGTTGTTTGTTTGTTTGTTTGTTTGTTTGTTTGTTTGTTTGTTTGTTTGTTTGTTTGTTTGTTTGTTTGTTTGTTTGTTTGACATTTCAGCCTTGCATCCACGCAGAAATTGTGTTTTTTTCAGTAGCGACAAAACTTTTTCAAAACTGGGTTCTAGGTTGAACACAGTTCGAAACTGCACTGTTGTGTGTTTGTGTGTGCAAACTAAACACAACTTTTTGAAAATAATGAGGACATAGACCAACCTCCAACCTAAACTTCACCCTAAACATGATAGATGTAAAAATGTCAAAAGATTATGTGTTTTTTGTGCTATAGATGTTGTAGTTTCTCAACTACAGCAAAACATGTTTATATTGTGTTACATCAATAAGATGACTAGGCTTGATAAAGCTTTGTTTTAAATGGAATTAAAGAAAAACTTTTTATTACACCAAATAATCTAAAATCAAAAGGTTTTTATCACTTTATTCNTTGTTGTTGTTGTTGTTGTTGTTGTTGTTGTTGTTGTTGTTCTTGTTGTTGTTCTCATTAAATATTACAAAAAAATAAGTAGGCTGTACATTACCAAACCGAAAAATTTAAGTAGTTTTTAAATGGTTGACACTGAATTTTTCTTGATATCTAGCCATCCCCTGCTGGATGCATGAAGTGTCCATGTCTTTGGACTAACTAAACTCTCAGTCAGCACATATTGTCCTTCAATTATTACCCCTGATCCCAAACTAAGTTAATACAATTATTGTTTTGGTAGTGTTGTACTTTAATATGACAAAGTAGATGTTCTACTCAGTTTTCAGTATACCAAAATAAATAAATAAATAAATAAATAAAATCTGCTTTTTGCTTTTCCCCATCCTTCTTTTTGTGCTTGTCTTTGTGTTTAGCTTGTGTACAATGCAAATATTAACCATCTAGAAAAGTTACAAATTACTAGATTATAATCTGAGTCTTCTTAAAATAAATGTAATAAACTGCCAGTGCAGTAAGACTTTCACTTAGTAAGACTTCTTAAAACAAGAAAAGTTTCCAGGTGAACAAGTTTAATAATCTCATTCTGCTTTGTCTCAAAACAAGATCAAAAATAATTTTTGGCTGGATATAAGATATTAATACTTGTTTAGATGGGAAGCTTTGTGCACGTGCTCCATCTTGTTTCCTGTCCTGGTGTATTTTTGTGGAATGGTTACAGCGCCGCATACAGGCCTGGAGTACTTATGACAGCATGTTTGGTTGTCTTCTGCAATATTCTTTTGGATGAAAACATTTGTAAAAACAGTGCTATGGTTACAAATATATTCTTAGAAACAACAAATTTAATAAAAATGTTTAGGGAAAAAAACTTTTTGGACACAGCCTGTGTTCATTATGATTTTGATTCTTTGAGCCCACATGGACCCAGACCCAAACTCCTTAAAAGTTCAGGTGTCCCCTCAGAAACATTCTGTAGCAGAGGGAAGAAAAGCAATATGTGAAGTGAGTTTTCTCTCTGGCTCCCCACATGCCTGAGCTATCAGCTGTTGGGGTGAGTCCCAGCTGCCTCGTGTGTTGATTTTAGCGTGATAGCCATCAGCATTTGCCACATGAAAGGAGCGAAGACTGGTGTTCCTAAAATAAGCAAGAAGGGGAGGCTATGTTGGGATGTTGGCCGCATTTCAAATCAAGATACAGGCATTGATTAATTGAAGTGTTTTTTTTCTGACCGTATCAGATAATATAAATGAATCAGTTCCTTTCCCGGTAAGATAAAATAAATATAGGACAGAATCTTTTGAACCTCTAAGGCTTACTTTAAAAGCTCAGGCTCCAAGGAAACAGCGTGGCTCATCCTCTGCTTTTTTAAAAACAASTGCTAATGTGTTTACATTCATGCTTAGAAGAAATAAAGCCCATTTGACTAACTACCTAAAATTACCAAGCACTAACTGTGCAYGCCATAAGTCCAGACGAGCAATGCTATCTGAGTTATGTCCCTTAAACTAGACTTACTGCTGTTTTTCAGCCCCCTCGTGGCATTTGGAACAGTTCACTGCAGGCCTGGAAACAGTTTAATATGGAACGGGAAAGACCTATTAAGAGAAGTGCAGGCCTCAATCCAGCTGACCCATTCTGTGGTTGCTCCAAGTGCAGGACGCTGTCACTTATAAGCTACTCGTAAAATCTTGCGGACAAGCCCTTAAATGAAGCCTGAGCTGTAACTGATACTGTTATGATTATAAAGAGATGGTGATTATAGATCTTTATGTATGAAACATGGTGTGTGTCACCCTGCCACGTGGGAGGGGGGGAACGTCAAAGTCTGAAAGATGGCTTTCATTAAAATGCAGGCCTTTCGTTTCAGAGAAGCCAGGGGAGCGTTATCTGGGAGGTAGAAGAGTGGAAGGCTATCWGAGCTGCTGGTTACTCACAGCTAAACTCAGAACCTTCTCAGGAYTTTTTTTTCCTATTGCATATTGTTACTCATCAAGAAAGAGAATGCTTTAAAAGAACTAAGAGGAAACAAAATATTTTGAGTACTGTTGATGTGGAACAACTGAGCCTTGTATTTTGAAATGTCTTATTAATATTGGAGGTCTGTCATTTTAATAATATCATTCACTTCCCCGCTTCGATTTCTTTTTGTCTGTCAATAGCTGTGATTTTGTTTCCATTCTGTGTTTGCATTTAAATAAGTGGTAATAATCAGAAAAGCAGAAGAGTCTAAGGACATTAAGGGGGATGGGAACATTTGCAGAACACATCTGGGTTGATATGATGTGACTGTATTAGCTATTATTCCAGAGTGGAAAATTATTCCTGCAAAATAACTTTTTTTCATTTTCCATGTGAACGTTCATTGCATTTTTCTGTCTTTGCCATCTATATTTCTACTGAAATATTAACCAGAAGCACTATAGCTTTTAATACCATCCTGTAGCGTTTATATGTTTGAACCACATTTGTTTTTGTGGAGTTAAAGTTAAAGAAGAACCCGTCCAGAGGACCTATACAATTTTTTTCCTTTTTGTGGAGTTGTTCAGGATTTTTTTTTTGTTTGTATTCTTAAAAGATCAGCCATTTTCATAGCAAATGGAAAAAATATATATTTGAATCTGCTATTAAAACAGGGATCAAAAGGGGCTTTTTTTCATTTAGAACAACTCATACATATTTGTTCTTTTTTTTGTTTTTTAATTTTTGCTAATAAAAAAACATCCCTACCACCCTGTGCAGCAATCTTGTGCTGGTAGATAAACAACAGTAACAATGGCAGATAGCAGAGTGCTGTTTGTGCAGCTCAACCTTTTTAATTCATCAGATCGTCTGACAGCAAACATATACTGTATGTACTACATCGTCTCTAGGGACAGCGGTCTACAAATATTTAACAGACTTGTAATTATTTTTCATGCTGGAGACTGCAGTGTTAGTGTATGTGATTGAAATACAAAAATCACAGCATCACCTAGTGACCTGGCTAGCAAATAACAGTGGATTAAATGTTTTTTTATGTTCTCCTTAAGCAGTGTTCACAGTCTGCTTAATACCATGTGCAAGAGAGATGTGTAGAGATCGTTCACAAATCAGCAAGCCCTATGATGCCTTGAGAAAGTAAGCCAGTGTATTTTATAATCTTTCTAATTTGGCTTCACACCCACCCCTTTTATTTCCAGACTAGTGGGTTTGTATTGGTCTATAAGTCTTTTGTCTCCTCCTTAGCTAATGTTCAGTTCTTATGTTAAACAGCACTGTTGTGTTTACTGAGGCTAACCTCACCATGACTCAATGCAGGTCAGCTTCCTGTGGTTCTCTCCTCTGGCCCCCAGACACTTGTCAGGGAATGTTTTTTTGTTTCACATGCAAATTCTGCCAGAATGCAGTCATTTAGGGCTGCTAATTACACCAGTGTTGAAATGACTTGCTGACATCACAAGACATCACAGGAAACAAGCTAAAAGGTTCCCACAAGAAGTGAAGCARCGTGCCTTCAAAACAAAAGTTGCATTCCACAATTTGTTTTTATATTACTTTTTTCTTTCTGTATGCATTAAATTACAAAAAGAAACTGCACAAACAATGTTTATAGTTGAATGCACTCAAAATAAGAAAGACCTGCGTAGTTAAATCTACACACATTATTGACATATGATGTAATGCTGAGATAAAAAGAGCTCTTATCTGGGGCTCATCACTTAATCATAACAAAAACAAAGAAGCCAACTCTTAGATATGAGTTTGAATCGTTTGGTACCCTGATTTATAAAAGATACTCAATGATTTTTAAAGGATACTCAAGACCACTCATCTATCTATCTATCTCCAAAAAAAATACATAACATGCATTCATATATTTTGTAGTTTGCTATCTAGAAAATTTCTTGGTAGTGGATGAATGACGTTCTAATGTGCTTTTATTTTGAAACCGAAACCGGAAATAGTTTATTAGCTCCTGCTACTTTGATACTATATTAAGTCGGGATTTAAACGCTGCCTGTGCTGTATTAGGGGCTGTTCACCAGCAGAGGAGCAGCTCAGCGAAAGTCCTGTCGTCTCTGCTCTGCTGCGGAGTTTTTCTCTGGTTTTAGGCGAAACTGAAGATATTTCGCCCGGAATATCTGTCCTCTTGCTCGGACCTCTCGGATTCACTGCGCGGACGAAGGAATGTGTTTTAGGTAGCGCACTTCAAGTTGCGGGGGGCTTTTTTTTTTTTTTTGGCAGAACTCCTGGCTGTATTTGCGGAGAGCCAATGCAGCAGGGGGGAGTTGACTCTAAAAGCTTTTTTCTTTAGCCCACGGGATAAATGTGGCAGAGAGGTGCGGGTCGCACACAGCGGACGGAGCTGGAGCGCGTCCTTTAACACCCGCAGGTTTAACCAGGTCAGGATGGCTTCACTCCGTCCCACTTTGTAAGAAGGTAATAATAACAGCTTATTTATGTTGTTTTTAAGCGTTTTTTTTTTTAAACGCAAGGGACGAAACATTTGTTGGGGGGAAGTTCCTTCTTTTAGACTCTTTTATTTTGACACTTGTTCATGCGGTTGAAGTTTGATCCATTTTCAGATCATAGGTTTGTCTCTGTGGACGTGTTCACACTGGTTTGTGC